ATCTAGTCTCTCAGTTTTCGAGATATCCGGATCAAATTTGGTAGGTGCGTGTATTTTTATAATGTATTAATCATTTGTCGGAACCGGAAGAATCGGACCACTATAACATATAGCTCCCATACAACTGATTGTTCAGATATGAGATTTTTCGTTATAACTTCTCCATTTATGCCGCTACGAACATGAAATTTTGCAGCACTTGCACCCATTATCAACAGAATGCTTACAGTGAAAATTACAAAGATCGGGTCACTATAACCTATAGCTCCTATACAACTGATTGTTCAGATATAAAATTTTCCGTTATAACTCCTCCATTTATAAAGCTGGGAACAGGAAATTCCGCAATGTTTTCAATAATTATCAACAGAAAACTTACAGTGAAAATTAAAAAGATCGGATAACTATAACCTACAGCTCCCATACAACTGATTGTTCAGATATGAGATTTTTCGTTATAATTCATCCATTTATTTAGCTAGGACCATGAAATTTCGCGCTGTTTTCACTCATTATCAGCAGAAGACTTACAGTGAAAATAACGAAGATCGGGTCACTATAACCTGCAGCCCCCATACAACTGATTGTTCAAATATGAGGTCTTTTATCATATCTCCTCCATTTATACAGCTAGGAACATGAAATTTCGCACCATTTTCACTCATTATTAACAGAATACGTACAGTGAAAATAACAAGGATCGGGTGACTATAACATATATGTATCTTCCATACATCTGATTGTTCAGATATGGGATTTTACTGTAAAACTCCTTTATTTGAACAGCTAAAACCGATAAATTTCGTAAGATATTTTATAAATAATAATACAAAGTCTACTGAGAAAATCGTCAAAATCTATGCTGTATAAGCTTTATCTCCTATAGCACTGATTGTTCAGATACCAGTTTTTGCGATATATCTCCTTTATGTAGGAAACTAAACCCAATAAATTGTGTTACCGGTTTACATACCGATCACATAGCAGTGAAAATCACTTAGATTGGTGCCATATAAAGTATATCTTCCATACCTCTGATTGTTTAGATGCGATTTTTTATATAAGTATGTAACTCCTCTATCGATGTATTCAGATGTATTCAAAATCAGTAATCTGTCAAACTAAAATTTGCAGATGTTCATGAAAGGTATGAAGCCTTCGGCATAGCCGAAGACAGCGCTGCTCTTACTTGTTTTAGGTAAGTTCTATTCTAACAGCCGGTTTCATCAGTAATTTAAATGAAAAATAATTTTTTTATTTTCTGTCAATTTCCATATAAAATTTGAATATATTAAATAATTTTTCACTTAAAATGGGTTTTGACAATTTGTCTGTAAGCATTTCTGTTTTTTGCAGAAATATAACTCCTACTTGTAAAATTGGATAAGTAGGAGTTCTAAACAACTTTTTCACTAAATTGAAACGTACTCTGTTAAATAAAATTTACTTTCTATCGTTCAGAACTTTATCAGACGAAATAAACGAAGGTCTAATCTCAAAAGCTGCTGAAAAAATTAGGAGGAGACTGGGTACTTTTAATTAACATTGTTATTGACCTTCATAGTTAGACTTTAAGTTTTCCTGTAAATTCGCCTTACATTTTTATTAGTATGTGGTTGCTTTGTTGTTTATTTGCCTTACTG